GCCGCGCGGCAGCCGCGCCACGTGGGGGCTCCGGCGCTTGCGGGTGCCGGGCAAACAGAGTCGGACAAAGGCTGCGGGGAAACAATTGTTTTATTTCCAAGCCGATTACAAAGAGCAGAGATCAAAGGAACGTAAAAAATAGTCAAGTGCATCTTGCAAACCACCTGCGGGGCGGGAGCAGTAAGGCGGGCCAAGCCGCCAGAGCGCCGAAGGTCACTTGGCGGGAGCCGAGGGCTGCATGCTCGCTGCGAGGCGGCCCCAGCACCAGGCCTGTCCTGCCCTAGCTGTCCCAAGCGCCAGGCAGCTTCCTGCACCAACCCCTCCACGGGTACAGGGACACGGCCCCTCTACGGGCTTCCCCGCGCCGCGGCCTGGGCTACTGCAGCCTTAGGGAAGCAACCCCGCGTCCTCAGAAAGGAAGGAAGGGTCTAAGGGCACAGCAGGCCCCAGGGCGGTTAGAGGGGCAGGAGCAGCAGCACGGGACCGGGCCGTATGCAGGTCAGACACGAGACGGCAAGGAACGCACACGGGTCAGTCACGCTTGCTATGGTTTCTCCTGGTCCAAACGCAAGAGGGACGCGACGCAAAGGCAGCCTCGCCTCAGCTTAGCCAGCCAGCCAGCCAGGGACAGAAAGCTGAAACAGCCCCTGTGCAAGCCAAAGCAGGGGCCCGACGCTGGGAGCAGACACCTCCGCAACAGCCACGTGACTGGTACCCAGTGCCCTCACGCTGCAGCTCTTACAGGAGGAAGCAGCAGGCTACTTTGCACCGTGTAACTAGGAACAGCCTTCCCACAACCAGGCTCACAACTCCAGGCCACAGCACTCCGCCAGGCTCGCTTAGGAGCCCTTCTGGGAGACATGATCTCAAGAAATAAGGTAGATCTCAAACCGGATCCACAGCCACCGGCTAGAGACAAGTTCCAGAAAACCCACCCGTAGATCACAGCATATCGGTAGTCTCTAAAACAAGGAATGAAAGGGGCATGGCTGCCCTCCACACAAAGGTCAGAAAGACAAAGACGAGCGATGGAAAATCTGCAGGTCAGGAGGGCAAAACCCAGTGAGGTGTCTGCACAGCCCCCTGTGCCTGCCAGCACCCCAGGCTAGAGAACTGGCTCCTCAAGACAGATGGGAACCCTACTCGGGGTCTCCTCCCCTCTTGCACCCGCACCAGGCCAGAGCAGTGGCTCTGTGCAGCGGGGTGTACAGTTTCAGCACAGTGCTGCTGGCAGGTCCCTGCTCCCTCGGAGCCTGCACCTGCCCTCACTGCTCTATTTCTAGCCTCTCATGCTTGGCAAGTGGTTTCAGGCTCTTGCAACGTTGCATTATCTATGTGGTTTTCCAAACCAGATATGGGACCATCCCATCTGTTCAGCAGCTCACAGGGAACAGAAATGCCCCCCTGCACTCCTGGCTTTTATCTTCGCACTGCTCTCAGACTGATCACCCCGGGCCTGCATGCTCTGAAAGCCAGGGAAGCTGCAGCTGCATTCTTGCGCAGCCTCCTGGGCATGCCACCCCCTCAGCGTCACTGGGCTTCTGGGCAGGAGGCAGGATAACTCCCTCTCAAATCCAGCCAGCATGAGGAACAGAGCAGTGGGGCCTGCAAAGAGGCCCGCTCTGATCACCAAAACACAGGGAGGGAATAGAAGCATCTTGCAACCAACTGCAGCGCATCACCGACACCGAAAGCCCCCAGCCAAAGGGACCACCCTGCTTGGGAATGTGCTGGTCTCTCCTTCCCAGCACTAGCTCAGCCAGACACAGCCTCTCCCTACTATTAGGTGGGACGAGCTGTACTTGGGGAGGGAAGAGGGCCCTACTTAAACTACCATTCTGCTGCTTGCTTTGGTCACTAACCAAGGGATCAAGTCCACTTCAGCGCATGGCCTGACTTCCCATCCCCTGACCACAGCCCTCAGGTTCTATCGCAGCAGATTCCTCACTCACATCCTCACTATCTTGTTCCTGGGCACATCTGATAGCACCCCAAACTCTTCCATGCTGTACACCTCCTTTTCTAACACAGACAGCACGCGAGGGCCACTCCTAGCTGAGGGCTGACATCTGCCCCAGCACGAGTGACCTCCAGGCACTGAACAGGAGCACACGCTCTCCTTGCTAATTGGGAACAGGGTGGTGACCAGTGGGAGCCTCCAAACCCACCCCTGTCTGAACCCCAAGGGAGAAGCTTCTGCCAATTCCAGCACATCTCAGAAATGAGACAGGGAAGAGAGGCAGAAGAGAAGAGATTCAAGAAGCTAGAGCCGTCTCCATGTCCCAGCAGCTGGAAGCGCAGTTCCCTCACACCTCGCTATGAGCACAGCTGTCTACCTGCCTGCAGCAAAAGAGCAGACTTCTGGTGACCGACATGAACAGCAGCAAGGCAGGGGCTGTGGGCTCAGTTTAAATGGACCACTGCTTACGTTCCAACCTCCAGGGCTGTCACCTGGGGCAAGCCAGTGACATACAGTCTGTGCAGTGCTCGTCTCCCTACCCCATCAGCCATCACATAGCTGATCTAGGTAGAAGAGCAGTCACCTCGGACTCTCAAGCTGAAGGCACTAGCTGCCCCCAGGGGCAGGACACTAGACACGCCAGTAATCTTATCTGGGAGGATGAACCCTGTGCTCGCGGCCCAACGCTGGGGTCCGATCAGCAAACCGGCGCTTCCAAACAGCTGATTTACCGCATCAAAGAGTAAAACCGACCCAAGACACAAAACAGAGGAGGACATGGCATCCCCACAGGAGGGGTGGAGGGAGAAGAGAGGCCCAGAACAACCCGGTGACACTAACCTTTTGCAAGCCCCCCTCTCGTGGCTCTCACTCTCTTCCCCAAATAAAGACACGTTGTTCACCGGCATGTTGAAAAGACGTGCTCGTCATTCTTAATAAACAACTAGAGTAAGAATACATAAGAGAAACAGCGTGGTATCTTTATATGATACACAAGTGTATGTTACAAGAATTCCATCAGGCACGGGAGCCTCAAGGTTTAAGGCCTCAAGCTGGGCCAAAAAAAAAAAAAAAAAAAAAAAAAGAAATGCGTGGTAAAGTTTTTACTTTTAACATCTAAAAATGTCACTTAAAGGTTTGGATAGAAATTGTATTTTTAATAAATCATAATCGCAGTTCACTCTCCTCCTCGTCCTCCAGGGCAATGGCGACGCACCGTCCAAATGCGAGGTCAGAAGAGACACCTGCCTCTTCCCACAGCGGGGCAGGTCCAGCCCTCATTCACTCTGCTCGTGATCCGAGGAGACGCTGAGCCCCGGCCGTCCTGACCAAACCTATGGTTCACGTCCATTTTCCACATCATAGAAAAGCCAGTTGGCCGGCAGCTTTCCGCAGCTCCCTGCGCACAGGATTGGCCTCCACTGGTGCCACAGTTCAGCGTGTTCGGTAGGAGACACAAAGGGTAGGTTTTCCTTTTAGATTCTTTTAAAGAGAAGAAGCCTAAAAGGGCTTCATAACTACACCAATAAAAAACAAAATGTAGGCATCTCCTTTAGTGTGAAAGTCTGTACAATCCATCCTCGCCCCCCCCACCCCCGTCCAGCCGAGACGGATGCCTAGTGCATGGTGCTGGCGTTAGCCACCGCGATCGCTTCCTGAATCTCTCGTATCACCAGGATCCGGGTGAGCATCTGTTCCATCTGCTCCCTGCTGATGGGCTGGATGGAATACCAGATAGGGCTGTTGGGGGCTACCACCGGCTCCGGAGTCAGGTAGAACGTGTCATTCCGGCCTTTCACGCTCTGAGGGCTGTACAGGGAAAAGCAGAAACAGCCAGGCTAGCAGGGAACACTCGGGAAGCACCGCCCTACTTGCCTGGGCCTCTCGGGACCCGGAGCACAGACGGCAGCTGAAGAAAGGCTAGACTGGGCAGCCACAGAGCCTCACCCATGTTACCCAACTACTTCCCCATGTTGCTTGCGGCAGGCGGGGAGCTCCATCTGGATAGCTCAGCTCAGCCTTTCAGGTGGGCCAAGACTAACATGCGAGGGCCCCCCGACGTGGGAACGTGTTTGCTAGCACACGGCCAGGAGGGAAGTGGCAGGCCATAAGGGCCTGTTTTCCTTTGCAAGGTAGTCGTGCACAGACTGCTCTGCTTGCACCGCGGCAATGAGGAGCATGCACAAACCCAGCCACCAGGGGCACAGGAATTTAGTTCTCCTGATTTCGAAAGCCAACTCCTGTCTGAATTAGGAATTGCACCGAGAGACAGACAGCTCAGCAGAAGTAGAGGGTGCTTCCGGCAGGGCATCTGCGCTGTGCCAGCACTGTAAAACCCTCCAAGCCAGTGCACACATCAGGACTGAGCCCCTCTAAGAGCTGAGCAAAACCAGCAATTGTGATGAACGCAGGGTCAGAGGCACGTGCATCCCCTCATGCAACATAGCCATGTAGGTGACCTTGGTATGTCAGCAGAGGCCAGGCCAGGGGAAGACATCCTGCCCTGAAACAGCTTAAGGTGTAGCTTATATCTGCATTTGCACACAGTGGGCCAGCCCATGCACAGCACAGCCCAGAAGCGCTCACCATTTGAAGAGGTAGAAGTCATAGAGCTTTATCGGACACCTCAGAGGGTTCTCGGGATTCTCCGTCTGCTCTGCATACATGTCATCTGTAACTGCAACCCCCGTGCAGGCAGTAAGACCCAGTGCAGGGCCTGGCAGGGCCCCGGTTTTGCCACCGGATGTTTGCTACCCTTCCCCTGACAGGCAGGGCCACAAGGTACCGCTATCAGAAGGCCAAAAGAGCCAGGTGGCTGCCCCGCCCCACAGCATCGCAGACTTGCGAGCTGTGTGAGACCCCGCTTCATGCCCGAGGCCACTGGCTTTAGGCTCTACAGCCCACTCATCACTGTCCCCACCCAGCTGCAGCCCGAAAGGCAAGAGGCCTCGATGCCAATCCAGTGACTTTGTGAGGACAAGAGGCTGTATTCCCTCATCACCTCTGCATCTCTATTGGACTACTCCAAATAGGAGCTCAGACATTCCCAAACCACATCCGCCTCTCCCCTCCACACACACGCTACCTTTCTGGCCTGTCTGGTGTATCCCAAGTGCCTTCAGATACCGGATACTTGTGCTCTTATCCTTGGGGTTGGAAGGATTCTTCTTGGTCTGCCTTAAGACCTTGGAGAAGGCCAACTTCATATGTTGGTCTACGGTTTTCAAGAGGAAGTACCTGTGCAGCAGCGGGGGACACAGAACAGTGCACTGTGAGAGAAGGCAGGCACACTATACTTTCCTGGGTAAGAGGTTGGCTTTGGGGTCCCCCATCCAACCCACCCTCGTCCGGATTCCTCACCGCCTCCCAGCAGTCCTGGAAAAGATGCTGAAGGCTCCGCCTTGCAAACCAGCAGTCCCAAATACTTACTTGGTGTTGAAAAACATCAGCGTAGTGAGCAAAGTGGAAGGGGAATGGGCTCCCAGCTGCTTGCACTCCCACAGCATCTCCTCGGTCACGTGACTGGGGAGGACGTAACCTGCAGCGGTCAGAAGCCAGGATCAGCCCTGTGCAGTTACAGCAGGAACAAGAGAGGCGCTCCCAGGGAGGGGACCACCCCTGAGGGGTGTGGGGGCTGCTCAATGCCCCCGTTCCACCACCGGGACTGTGAGGAACCTTTAGGAATACACGAGGAGCAGACACAAGGAGGAAGGACTCCACCTGTGTACCACAGCCTCTGGCGCTGCAGTTTCCCACACCACCACCCAGAAACAGCAGGAACATGCACCTGAGCAACTTCGCAATTTATGTCCAAGTCCAGTGCAGATCCTCCCAATCCAACAGCACACAAGAGCCTACAAGCCGGCACAGCAGATTCAGCTCCTGCCCCCTGTGCAGCATAGCCAGTGCCTGGGGCTGAATGCATTGCTTGGACACCCGAGCAAGCCTTTGATTCCTCAGGCCTTTCCCTGCTCAGCTGTTCGGAAAGGAGGAGCAGCAGCATGGACGGCAGTGCGTACCGCGCAGCCATGGACTGGCCCAAAGAACAGAGCACGCAGGTCAGAGGCAGATGACAGACAAAAGGGGCCTGGAAACTGCCTCACCAAGCAAAACAAGTCAGAGAGCAGGCAGCCTCAAACACCTCTGCTTAGGCCAAAGCAGAACTGCAAGGGCGTGGGGATGGCCTAGTCTCTAGCGCAGCACTAGCAAAGCTAGTTCATGCATAACTTGCTCCTTTAGCTGTTGCCCAACCACTCTACTGTGAACGAAGAGTTTAGCGGCCACAGCCTACCAGCTGGACACTTTCAAGGCTCTGCCTTGCGCTCAGGAAGGCTGCAAAACCCACTGCACTTCAAAACCAAGAGAAGCTTCCAAGCATGATTCTGTCGTCACTGCTGGATGCTAGCTCCAGTCTCCCAGTAGAGGTGCCAAAGCAATATGCCACTGTAACTCAATGTCAGGGAGCTGAGCTTGGAAACAGCCGGTGTCAGCCTGTTTCTGGTGGGTAAGACGCTAGCCACTGAGGCAGCAAGAGTCCCTCTCCGATTCATAGGCCAGCATGTCTCAAGAGGCTCTTCCTAAAACAGGGCAACCTAAATGCTCTTACCCAGAGGAGTGACCCGGGGCTGCACATCCTTGAGAACTTCATGTAACCACTCGGTGAACCGTATGTAATAGAGATCTGAGAAGATGTCGTCCACTCGGCCGTTTTCAAAGAGATACTGCAAGAGACATTCACAAATGGTCCCAGGGAGTGGTGCTGAGCATGCCCCTCAGAAAGGACCTTACTGCGGGATGGCATAGGCTCCTGGCAGCCCCAAGGCTCAGGTGCTAGGCAGATAGACATACGGCCTGCTATAGACCTACCCTGCTGGAGAGGGATCCCCAGGCTCCCCCTGGAGTGTATAGAGATCCCTGTAGCAAGGTCAGCATGCCAGAAATCATCCCAATTACTGTTGTGTGAGTGGGTGTCACAAGGAAGACTTGCAAGCAAAGCATATGGCTTTCTACTAGGCTGCATTTATCTGGAATTTTACACTGAAATAACCTCTTTAAGGTAGGAAGATGCTTTTGCTTTATGAAGGTCCTTGTGTAGCATGCTTGGCCCAGCCAGTTGCAGGAAGCACCTCACAGGCGTTGTGCCTCACTGCTCCTGTAGCTCTGTCAGAAAACATACTACTGCTGCAAACTGTCACTGCTCCCTGCACCAATAGCAGCAGGCTTGTTTTTAAGGTCCAGTTAGGCCACATGTGAACCAGTGACTTAAGCAAGTCCAAAGCTAAACCCTGAGCTTTAGATTTTGTTTGAAAAACTTGACATGTAATTTTCACCACATTATTCATTTACAATTATTACTATTCCCCCCAACCCCCTCACTAGGATTTAAAAAAGGACACTAGTTATGGAAGCCTTCGATCATAAAAAGAACTTAAATAGCAGGTGTGGAAAACCACCCAGAAGCATCTGCCCGAGTTTTCTGAGACATTTCAGTCTATGACATCTAAACCTGGGGAGTGTGATATTCAAGGCAGCGGCCCATTTCCTTGGTCTGACGCAGAGCCGCCTGCGCACAAGCACTGACCAGTGCGCACAGTTCCGCTGTGCACAGGATGTGCAGCGAGACACCCCCTACCTTCTGAATGCACAGGAAGATGTAGTAAAGCACGTCTGGGTCGTAGGGCTCGCCATCTCCGTTGCGAGCCTCTCGTGTCATTAAGCAGAGCCCATAATTTAGCTCAGCCACAGCCGAGGAGATCAGATCTTCCTGGAATCTCAGCAGCTGGCGCCCTGCAGGCAAAGCACAGCAACGACAGCGTCAAAGATACCCCACAGCACGATCTGCCATCCTCCCAACTGGCCCATCTCCCCTTCCTGGCACAGCCCCAGCATCGCAGGCTCTCCAGCACATGCATTAGTTGAGGTGATGGATGCTTTAAGCACTTGTACATCTGCTCAGAGGGAAACGGGGGACGGAGGAAACTGACATCAGCTCCTGCTCCAGGATCTGCAGTGAGGCCTTGGGCAGCAGTGAGAGCAACTCCAGAACAGCACTTGCTAACCCTTTAGCACTCAATCAGAACATGAGGCTATTGTGTTCCAGTAACTGGCACCCATCTACCACAGCCCTACACAGCCTCTTCGAGCTCACTGAGCTAGTTCAGGCTAGCTGGCTCAGGCTGGAATTCAGATAATCCTTGGAATGTTCCAGGATGCAACTGCCAAAGAATATAAATCATTATTAACAAGTGTAGCTTGAGATCTCAAACTGCCTTCACCTTCAAGGAGGCAAGAAGGGAATTTTTCAAACAGGAGGAGGGAACACTGTGGGTGGTTACACTGAACTGGAAAACAGCCCTTAAAAAAAAACCCCGAAAAACAAAAAAACAAACAAAATCTCAGGGGAGTTGAAAAGACTAAGGCAAGATCAGGAGAGTCAGAGAGCTACAAGGGTTTCAACCCCATTAGCTCTTTTCACCTGCTACAAATCTCCCCATAGATAATGCTCTAGTGGTGAAAGAAAGATGAGACTGATGTGTGTGAGGCCATGACACTTACTGCCGATGGGAGCTAGCCTGTTCTGGGCCTCCTTCTCCAGCTCTGCATTCTTGGTCTGTGCCCAGTTCTTCCACACTTCCAGCCCTTCTTCTGGTTTCAGAGAGTTTGGAAGCAGGAGTTCAGGTGAAGGCTGAGGCTGTGGCTGTGGCTCCACTTCTGCTACCTGAACAGTTTGAGCCTGTGAAAGACAGTCACTGCAGTCACAATTCCTCCAAGACACTTACTACCAAGCCAGAAAAAAAACGTACGGCTGTTCTATTTGCTTGCTTGTTGGTGCTGAACACTGGAGCAAAGACATTTTTTATCTTTGCAAGTCATGTAGGACCACGTCCTCTCCCGCTGCTGCGGCCACCATACACGCGAGCCTGCACAGAGCACAACTCTGCTGTCACATCTGTTCTGGTGTCGTGATCACGCAAGCTCACTCCCCTGGCCTCAAGAACACCTGCACTGCCACTCCAAGCAGGGGCTCTAGAAACTGGTTGGTCCATCTGCGCAACCTGACATTCTAGGCATGTGTTTTAAGCCAGTCTTATAAACTTGCAGCCCAGGTTTGCAATTCATCTGTACAGCCATTCCTAAAGGAAAAACAAGCTAGCCAATGCAAATGTGACGAGGTGAACATTTGGGTGCACTGGTGCTCCAGCTGGGACTCAAACCCAGAGGATCTTGCCTCTCCACTCAGGGTCAGACTGATTGCTGTATTTGGGGTCAGGAAGGAATTCTCCCCCGTGGGCAGACTAATATGGACTGGAGTGGGGGGGGGGCTTGCCTTCCTCTATAGTGGGATCTCTCACATATATTTAACCACCTTAAAACACTGGGTGCCATTGTTCCCTGCTTTGCTGGTGGCAGGACCAGGTGCTCTTGGTGTCTTTGTGGCCGTGCGACAGGGTTGACTGTGTAGCTTTAGCAATAGGTTAGACAAGGGTTTACAAGAGCTGGTTTGGACAGGGATGATCCTGCCTCAGGCAGGGAACTGGCCTACAGAGATCTCCTATGGCCCTACTCCCCCATGGTTCTGTTGTCTTTGTCAGGGTAAAGCCCTCCAACCCTTCCCCCTGCTGGCTTTGGTGACTGATGGGACATGGAAATGATTCGTTTCTGGGCTTGGGTCCCATGGCTCGCGGGACAGTGGGACTACAACTGCCTTGGCCAGGCGTCAGGCACACAGAGAGGAAGGTGCCCTCTGCTGGGCGAGAGTGGCAGAGCAGAGACAGCTCTGGAGAGATGCCTGGGAGCAAGCCCCAGTCCCGTCATCCACTTCAACTGTGCTCCAGGGTGTGGCACTTATGCCAACACACACAGTGTGAAAGGGCCAGGTGCCTGCGGCAGCAGAGTAGCCCCAAGACACGCCACCAAGGCCGACCCTCTCCTAGGGAGCACTGCTCACACTGGACCCCTGAAGGACTGAATCCATCACAACCACCCCAGGTCTATCACCTCACGTGAGCAGCACAAATAGTACCCAGCACCTGGGCTCAGCTCAGAGATGACCTGAGCAGGGTGTGGAACCTGGGGCAAATCATCGGGGCCCACCCCTGGATGTGAGGAAGCCAGCAGCAGATTTGGCAGTGGGGATGGGGGTGCTGAGTGGCCGGATGCGAAGCTGGTTGCGGCAGCATGGAGTCACCATGGCCGCTCCGCTCAGCTCTGCAGGGCCCCCAAAGCGCTGGGCCTGGGGCAGGTGCCCTGATCCACCATCCCCCCGGACGGCCCTGTGGGTACTACTATCCTGCTGACAGCCTTCTCCCTTGTCAGGCAAGGGCAGGATGCCCAAACTGTCCAGCATCACAGCTGTATAGGAAAAGGGACAGGAGGAACAGTGACACCCTTCAACCCTTATCCAAGCCTTTATGAAGGTCCCTTCCTAAAGGGAGGGAGAACCTGACAGTGTCCACCACTAGAAGCCATCAGCTACTGAGCACCAGGCTCAGAGCAGCATGCCACCAATGAGCCACTTCTTCCGTGCAATGGCAGCTGCCTTCGTGACACTGACAGAGGGCAGGTCAGTCTCGCTCGCACAGGCTGGCTCACTGCACTGCTCCCCTTGACCTATTCAGGGACTCGCTGCCATGTTCTGGGTGCAGCCTCTGACAGGCCACAGCACCTTCCTCTTCCCACTGGACCTCTGAGCCCCACAGCTTGGTCACCTCAAGGTGCAGCCACTCTGTCCAAGTGTGGTGACCTCTCTGCATCAGCCTCTGCCCAGGGGGGCTTGAGCTACACAGAAAGAGAGGTACTTCTCTGCCCTCCTCTTCCTCCTGTGCAAAACTGAAGGCTACAAAATTAAACACAAACTAGATGCTGAGGCGATGAAGGACTGTAACTCATCTCACTTTTCCTGAGAGGTACTGAGAACAGGAGCCCTAGCCATCACAAGGCCCTCCTGTACTTGCAGTCCTGCTGAGGAAGAGACAAGGGGACCGACCTGTGCACAGAATGTGCAAGCCTGGAGGGGAGTTTGTGCTACAAGCATTTTACAACTTGCTCAGTAAAGTGCGTGTCCTTGCTGGTGTTACACCTGCAGCCTTTCAGGATACTGGTGCTGAACACTGGAGTGGCCCACAGCGCTCCCACGCAGTAAGAAAGCCAAAGTGCCGAAGCCCTGCTATAATCGTGCGCAATCTCAGACAGACCGACTATGCCACGGCCAGCTCTCCTGCAGCAGCTGCCAGGAGCTGTCTGCACAGCGGCACCTGCAGGGCTCCATAGCAAGGTGCTCCCTTCACTGACAGTACTCCGTTGTTATCCTCAGGGCACTGGGACAAACCTAAGTCACTGCACAGCTGCTGTCTCAAGAAAGACACGACCTAAGGGTGAAGCAATGCCAGACTTGTGCAGGCTAAACCTGCTCCTTTAGCCTGTCCAATGCTGTGCCTGTGCTCCCCATGGAGAGAAAAAACATCCACTGCCACTCAGCCTGGCAGGAGGAGACTGCTGGCTTGCTTCCCACGATTACCTCACAGCCGCTCTCTGCTAGGCCTAGGGCAGACAAACAGGCTGGAGTCAATGCAGCAAATGATTGCCTTGCTAGGATTCCACCCTCCTGGCACACAATGCACCTTGCCTAGGCAGCAGTGGCAAGGGGGACGCTGAGGCCAGGCACCAGGGCAGAACGACACAGCCACTGTGGGGAGCAAAGCAGGTCGCTGGAAGGCACAAAGCAGGTTTCTGGAAGACCCAAGGAGCTCACTCCACACCACAGCAAGCCCCTCAGCACTCCCACAGCAGCACACTGCCTGAGGGAGGCTGGCAAGGCAGGACTTGTGCCCTTCCTCAGGAAGGACCCTACAGGACAAGGCTGTCCAAACAACATCACAGGTCACACGCAGCCTGCAAGAGGTTAATCTGCAGACCATGGGCTCCCACCCACTCCAGCGGGTTCTCCTGGCTCCCTCTTCCTCCTCCAGCTTCTATTTTCTGCCCCCCCGTTCTAGTGGGTGGTGAGGCGTTGCACAGCCTGCAGCCAGGGAGCTAAGGGGGAGGGGATGTGGCTCACTAGTGCAGCCCCCACTGGTGCAGCCTACGGGGTTTGCAGACTCTGAAGCTGGACAGCCCTGCTACACGATAGCTACAGTGGATCCAGGGACAATCCAACAAGGCCAGGGCTTAGGCAGAGCAGTCTCATCCCTCTGCCCGAAACTAATGGGCTGCCCTCCAGCCCTTCTAGTCTAAACATGGCTGATGAACCACTGGGCAGAGGCAGCAACCACATTCCCATGAAGCCCAGTGGGGCCAGCATCATCTTAGGAAGCTGGCAGGCTGCCCAGCTGATGCCTTGGCCCTGTACAAAAGGAAGCTGCACCTGCCATCCCTTGGCCCTGTGGGGCCAGGAGTGACCCTCTGCTTTTCTAATTACCCTCCTCTGTTATAGAGTACCCCCTGTTTGATCTAACATTTATGTTGTTTGGCTAGGGCCATTTTCACATAATAGTTGGGTAAGGCTATGACAAGAGCAATTACTTTTCATCGTCTCATCTCAGTACCAAGACAGTAATGCACACATGGACAAGTGAAGGGGACACCGGGATGGTGGAATCCTAGCAAGGCAGTCATTTGCTGCATTCCACAGGATTTGAGAGGTTTTTCTTGGTTTTCTTGGGTCTTGATTCCGCGCCCCCCACCAAAGAAAGGTCACATTTAGACATGTAAAGGGTTTTGGCCACCAACTCCAACTATGGCCTTTAATACAGCAATGCATTTGGCCATGATATACACCACACTGCTAAAAAGATGCTGTTCAGTTTCCAGGGTTCACTTCTGTGACATCTCATCTTTCCCAGCCCACATTTACTGGAAATGGGGCCTACTGTACATAGCAGTGAGGCTTGTTCCAGTCAATCAGCTGTCAAACCCTCAGCTCTGAAGCACTTTTAACCTGCCAAGCATCTAGCAGTGCTCCCAGAGCCAAGTGATTCACAGTGACTTGCAAGGCAGCTAATGTCTGCTGCATTTCAGGACTTCCCTGCTGGAGGGCTGTAGCCTGCCAGTGCAGCCCTTACAACCATCCAGTGCACTAACTAAGGACAGAAGTGGTCTCAGGACTCAGAGCTCCTGCTATTTAACACAGCAGCTCTGAGCTGGCGCCTCATGCCACTACAAAGGCGAGCCCAACAGATCCACCCCCATCACTTGGGACCTGGTCCAAACTGACAGGTATGTGACGTACATGGAAGAACCAATGCAGGCTGCCATGCCCAGATTATTGGGCTGCAAAAACATGGGTATCCTGTGCTGCCAAGGATGCCTTCTGACAGATGGCACTGCCCCCTCCTCACCACGTCCATGTCCTTAAATCATAGGATCACAAAATCATAAGTCAAGGGCAGACATGCAGAGGCGGTCACACTTACCGAACAAGTTACTTGCAACTGCTGCTGCTGCTGCCCCTGCTCCTGGGGTGTGGGTTGCTGCTGCTGCTGCTGCGGGTCCCATATGTGCACTGTCTGCGCCGTGTTCTGGTATGTCCCTGCCACAGCCTGCACGGCCACGGGAATGTGGATGTTGCCATTCATGAACTGTGCTGGGAAGAGCGAATTGGCAAGTGTCTGCACCACTTCCTCGTGTGAGTTCTTCACAACAGATGTGCTCCCCACCATCTTCTCTTTGTCGTCCTCCAGCTTCACAGCAGCCAGCGTTGTTGGCGAGCCACTGACATGGACGGCGTTGTAGGCCTCCTGGGGGATGGCAATGTGGGTTATGTTTTGCTGCTGGAGGTCTCCGCGTGGCTGAGCAGAGTAAACAGGGATGGTCCAAGTCTCTCCAGTGGGGCTAGTAATGGTCCCAGTGGCACTGTAGAGGTGGGCACTGTCCACTGTTAACAAATCTGGCCTCAAAGACACGTAGCTCTGCTGCTGGCCCTGGGGAATGGCCAGCACTGTGGCAACAGGCTGCCCCGAAATTGCATATGATACCGTAATCGGCATATCCACTTTGCGCTTCTTCACGGGCTGCAAGACGCTGGCGGTGCTGATGCGGCGCTCTCCCTCCCGTGGGGAGCCCTGCTGGGAGGGTGGAGGTGACAGCGCCCCCACAGTCTGGATCTGGATCTGTTGGCCTCCTGCAATAGCTTGTCCTGCCACCAGCTGGGCCTGGATCTGCTGGTGCTGTATGTGCTCCTCCTGGATCTCAGCAGCCTGGATCTGCTGGGCCGTCTGCACATGCTGCACCTGGATTTGAGCCGCCTGCAGCTGCGAGGGGCTTGGGCTCTGTAGAGCCTGACTCTGGATGGTCTGTGATGCCTGCTGCTGAGCCTGGCCCTGGATCTGCACCTGCACCTGGATTGGCTGCTCAGAGGCCTGGTGAACGGTGAGCTGGGGTGAGAGCTGCTGGGCGGAGACCTGCTGTGGCGACTGCTGGACCTGGACTTGCACCTGTAACAGCAAAGCAGCAGTCAGTGCAAACCAGAACTCCCGCGCCAGGAACTTGCTGTGGCTGCCGTGCTGTTCCAGACTGCGGGGGGGGCTCTTTCACACACAAATGCCAGGCGGCACTGTTGGAAAGAGAATGCCAGACCACATGCATCTGAGACCCCAGCCTGGCTGGCAGAAGGAAGCACCTACTCAGCATTACAGAGCAGTGTCCATCCCCCCCGTCGGTGCAGAGGCACAGGCTGCACACAAGCTGCATCACTTCCCCAATAAGTGCAGCCTTTAAAAACAGACTGCAGAAGAACATCCTGCAAAACAATTCACACCGATAGGATATGCAGCACTGGAGGCCCAGCCCCTCTCATCACAAATTAAAGGGCATCTCTGGTATAACTGTATGAATCGTAATTTTGCTGTTAAAATTTTAATACCTGCCTTACTGTCAAAGCCCCAAGCTGCCATGCTTTTCCATTCATAGTGCACTGCAAGAACAAGGCAACAGGCTCCTTTCTCCAAGGGCCTGAGCCCCAGAAGTGACTGTAAGGTCCCTTGACATATGGTGTGCACTAGGAACACAGGGTAAATCTCCTGGAGAGGAACAAAGCGTTAGGCTACAGACCTGAGGGCTCCTTACCCAGCCTTGGAACTAACAGCAGCACTAAGTGGGTGGGTAGGTGTCATGCATGTGCTGCAGGTTAAGGAGGCACCATTATGTCAAAGGTTTCTTTAAACTTTTAAGTCACCATCACAACAGGCCATCAGAAGTGGAGGCATCCCTGAGTCTGGTCAGCTTTGTACTGTCTGGACAATAGACGGCTCTTCCAAGTCCCGTATGTTTACCCAACAACAGAGAGCATAGATTCAAAACACCACAACGAAGATCTACACCCAACAGGCAGCCCAGTCTCTTTCTCCCAAGGTTAGGATGCCACTCAAAGATACATCTCTGCATTAAGATACCTACTCCTTATTGAGAACAGCTTCTCACAGATGCTGACAAGCTGCCAGGAATCAGAAGAGCCCAGAGGTCAGGGACTGGAGAAAGCAAACTCCTCTTTTTCTTGTTTC